TAGTTACTATTAGCAACACATCTAAATAAGTCTCACATTCTGTTTTCAGCCTTACAATAAAGTGAAAATACCGTAGAGTTTATTAGAATTAATAATAGTACTATTTTTTTCACGTGAGTAGGGGAGAGTCTTAAAAAACATCTTCTGGAAAGTATAAATGCAGGTTCACGATCCCGTATCTGCACTTTGACTTTTCAGTTTTTTGAGGATTTCAAACTTGCAGACAAGAATCAATTGCGGCAAGAACTTGAATAAGCCTGGGTCTTGTTCCTAGTGTCTGTGAAATTCACGCGTGTTAATATTACCACCTTCACCACAGAAATGTAAATATTTTGGGGATGCTGTCCCACCTTCTCTGGGAATATCATAAAATATGCACGTGCTATATTCCCTTTATAAAAATCTGAAACTTCCTGAGTTACTAGACATGTCTGGTCCCAACAGTTTAGGGTAAAAAGGTGCAGGTCGGTGCTAGAAAAGTATGGGATAGCTATTCCAATAGCACTGAGAATAACAACTTACTTATTTGTTGGGTAAGTCTATAGCACAAGACTTGTGACAAGAAATTTAGGAGAGTCAGATAAGCACCAAGCTGACATTTTGTAAGGAGAGGGCTGAGGCACCGAGAGATGAGCAACTTGCCCAGTGTTCTCCAGCTACAACTGGAGCCTAGATGCCCTGGCTTCAGAGAATGGGTTTTTAAACCACTAAGATTGGTTTCTATAGACTTAACCCTGCACGCTTCCACAGTTAAATTGGAAAGAGCACGCACAGAACAAGAGACTAGGTCTCTGAGTTGAAAGCATGAAGATTTTGTGAAGGTACATATCCTTACCAATGAAAGTCCAGACTCCAGGGTACTGGCAGTCAGGCTCATGCTCCCCAAGTATGACATGGGAGAATCCTTTCATGGAGAATAAAAATATCTATGTGCAATAACCTGAAGAGAAGACTTCAAAGCCCAAATTCTGCCCTTGCACATCACCCCCCCAAGCAGCTATTTAGAGCCTCTTTTTTTTTTTTTTAAATAAGAGGAGATTCAAGGATCACCAGACATTTGAGGATCACATCAAACATGAAGGAGCTCAAAATAGGACAATCAATAAAAAGGAACCTAAACAGGACAGAGGAAATATAGAGTAGAGAAGACTTCAAAGCCTGTATCATTAGTACCTTCAGAGATGAAAAAATGAGCATCCATGAAAGCCAAACAGACATGATTAAAAAAAAAAGGGGGGGAGGACCTACAACAGAGAATAAGACAGAGCACCATAAGACAGAGCACCCAAAAAGTAAAAATATGACAGGTGAAATTAAGTGTTCAGTAAAACTTGGATGATAATATCAGTGAAATTTCCCAAAAAGTAGTTATTCTGGAGTTTGTTGTCTCTTTTTTCTTGCACCTCATTTAGTTTTATCACTATAAATATTCGAATTGTTTAACTGACATTTGCACAAATTCCATAGTATTGTCTGTAGATGATGAGGAATTGATGTTTTCCCTTGGGGGAGAGATATTTTCTTGGTTTCTCATATGTCTTGTGCCTCTGCGATGGTTTCTAGTCATCAGGTTAATTATAAGTGTCTTCCTAAATTTTTCAAGTTAATTCTGAGTTTCATTGGTAAGGATATGTACTTTCACAAAATCTTCAGGCTTTCAACTCAGAGACCTCCTCTCTTGCTCTTCTGTGAATGCTCTTTCCCGTTTAACTGTGGAAGCCTGCAGCGTTAATTCAAAGGTGAGCAGGAGGAGGTGGTCAGTGATCTCTCTGCTGCTCTACCTCCCCAGCAACCTGCACTGTTGTCTCTGGACTTGGATAATTCAGAGTTCTTCCAGTTTCTAGAAAACAGGTGCAGCTGGGGCTAAGTTGAGCTTCAGTTGAGGAATAGAGAAGGGGTCTTGTGACACGTTTCAAGAAACACTGAAGTTGGGACCAGCAGTTAGGGTAATGGCTATGTCACTAGACTCCCATGTAGTCGACTGCTGTTCGAGTCCCAGACCCAGTGGCTTAAATTCACACCGGGCACGTGTGCGTGCATGCCCACGATTCCGAGAGGAGAATGGAGGAGAAGGGATTGCAGCATGGCCATCCCCTCTGGGGGAAGCTTTCTCGCTTTCTATCTCTCTGTCTTTCGGGTGAGCGCAGGTGCCCTATAGCAAAATCCTCTCCAAAAAAAAAAAGAAAGAAAGAAAAGAAAAGAAACGCTGAAGTCTGAGACTTCCGAGACATGTGGCAGGGGATGAACCAGTCTCTCTGCAGGTCAGTATCCCTGCCACTCAATGCAGCCAGGCCTGTCACTGAGGCAGCTCTCCCAATGACATGAGAACCAGGCAAACACGGCTTCTCCAAGTCCCAATGAACACACCTGAGAGTTCCAGGACATGTTGAGGAGGGGAAGAGCCACACTCTATGGCGCTCCTCACACCACAAATGGCTCTCTGTGCAGCAAGGCCGGCCCGGCTGATGCCCTGATGGTGCCGGGACTGGGCCCCAGTAGGTAACAGGTAATACAAATTTTAATCGAAATGAAGGAATGTAATGATACTGAGAAATAGGGAAGAAAGTAGTAGAGAAAATAGCCAAGAAGTTGAAAATTATTGCTTTTGGAGAATACACAAATCATAAAGTGAAAATTTTCTTTATTTTCTCATATATTCTAGAGGATCACTATACATTATTTGAAAATGTGATATATTAAAATACAGTTTTACTTCATTGCAATTATTCTGTCAATACCAATATTATCCTGTTGATACTTTTCATTCATAGCGTTATTGTTAACTATGTTACCTGAACATTTCAACCTAGAACAATGTGGACTTCTTCACCCTTTTAAATAATCATATACTATTAATTCTGTACCGTATTTTTTTCTGTTGATCTCTTTTGCAGCCACTAAGATTTTTTCTTATTTTGCTGTCAACAACATTTTGATGAACATCCTTGCTACATTATGTGTGCACACGTGCTGTATTTCCGTAGGAAACATTGGTAGAAATGATACTGCCTGGTCGAAATCTACCTTTTTTTAAGTTTAATTTATTTATTGAAAGAAAGAGACACCCCCAACAGGGTCTTCATTCCGTGATCCTACTCTAACGCCACCGTGCCTGGGTCAGATGTACGCTCACATCTGACATACACAGGGAGACCTCAGGATACACACCAGGACTTCCCCTTGTGACCTCAGCATCATGGAGTGCTGTGTTACCACAGTGTCACTGTGGCTGGTCCAAAATTTGCATTTTGAAAAAGATTTCCTTAGTACTTTCAAAATGGTAGACAAAGGTAGATGTCTATAAGTCTTGTTACCTACAAATAATGACTGTTTTATGCAGTATTTTTTTCCCTTTTATTGCTAGGGAGCTCCTGTGCTCACCAGAGAGAGAAAAACAAAAAAAATACAGAGAGAAAGAAAGCGAAAAGTATCGCCCCAGTGGAATATGATAATGTCACAATCCTTTTTTCTTCATCCCTCCTTCCTGTTAGGATTTTGGCTATGCACCCATGTGCACCCAGCGTGTCTCTTACGCTGCTAGGACTTGAACTGAAGGTAGCCATGTATTATCTGACTCCTTTAACCAATGAGCTATGGAACAGGTCCATGCAATATTTTTTTCCATTTATGACTTTGTTGCAAGAGCTAAACTTTGTTGGATAAAATCATTAATAGTCATAGAAATAGAGGTTTTGCTTATATCATTTTTAATCTAATGGAAATACATGATTGACAATACTATTCTCTGGATAATAATAAAAATTTTATTAAAAGTGATATTTGATTGAGTTTCTTTGTTTTGCTAAGGAAAAAATTCTTGTTCTACAGAGAGTTTTAATCAGGAACACATGTTAAATTTTGTTTAATGTTTTGGCCTTTATTAAATTTTCATTAAACACATATACTCTCTAGGCCTAATAAATTATGTGCTGTTTAGGTATACAGCAGAATGATTTTCTAATTTATTATTTTACAGAGCATAGCCGGACAATTTAGTTTGTATGTATATATACATATAAATATATATATATATATATATACACATATATATACTGTGCTCACCAGAGAGAGAAAAACAAAAAAAATACAGAGAGAAAGAAAGCGAAAAGTATCGCCCCAGTGGAATATGATAATGTCACAATCCTTTTTTCTTCATCCCTCCTTCCTGTTAGGATTTTGGCTATGCACCCATGTGCACCCAGCGTGTCTCTTACGCTGCTAGGACTTGAACTGAAGGTAGCCATGTATTATCTGACTCCTTTAACCAATGAGCTATGGAACAGGTCCATGCAATATTTTTTTCCATTTATGACTTTGTTGCAAGAGCTAAACTTTGTTGGATAAAATCATTAATAGTCATAGAAATAGAGGTTTTGCTTATATCATTTTTAATCTAATGGAAATACATGATTGACAATACTATTCTCTGGATAATAATAAAAATTTTATTAAAAGTGATATTTGATTGAGTTTCTTTGTTTTGCTAAGGAAAAAATTCTTGTTCTACAGAGAGTTTTAATCAGGAACACATGTTAAATTTTGTTTAATGTTTTGGCCTTTATTAAATTTTCATTAAACACATATACTCTCTAGGCCTAATAAATTATGTGCTGTTTAGGTATACAGCAGAATGATTTTCTAATTTATTATTTTACAGAGCATAGCCGGACAATTGAGTTTGTATGTATATATACATATAAATATATTTATATATATATATACACATATATATATATAAATTTTTAAAATCAGAATCTGAATGATAGGTTAGTTAGCTTTCCTGGAAGAGATTCCCTAAAGGTTTATTACTTTTTTCTTATCTGTGAAAACAGAGGAGACTTATTTGCTTGACTGATTCAGGAAATTCTTTTTTCTTTTTTTCAACATGTCTTTCAGAATATTTTCAAAGAACCACATGTGATACAATCATGGAGCCGAATTGAAAGACTGAAGAGTTCTTCCAACCTGTTTAACACCGTACCTTTGTTCTTTCTTTATAGGGGCACTGCGATTGCTGGCATTGTGTTTGGGATCGTGTTTATCATGGGGGTCATTGCTGGGATTGCCATCTGCATCTGCATGTGCATGAAAAACAACCGGGGACCCCGGGTGGGGGTCATCAGAACCACTCATATCAATGCCATCTCCTCCTATCCTGGTAAGCAAAAGCGTGTTTTCCTAAAGGAAATCAGACTTTTTAAGTTTTACTCTCAAGAGTCACTGCAATAATCTCCAATTTATAGGGTATATCTAAATGCATGTAAACTGAAGCTTTAGCTTTGAATAAGAGATTACTTAGATCCAAGTAATAATATCCATCTTGTATTTGAAGATACTCATATTTTCAGTAGTTGTCTCATTGACTACAACTGCCAGTCAGCCAAAATTAAGATAAATAGACAATTCACACCCACTATGTCTACCTGACAGTGAGTTCTGACAAGTAATTATAGAGAAAATATAAGTTATATGTCTCAATAAACTGCCGTATGATTCAATAGGTATGTGTGTATATCTTGAGAGAAAGAATTGAAGAAATATTGTGCATGTCTTCATTATGCAAAGAGAACAGCTTTAACATAATATTAAAATTCTCAACAAAAATCAAAGATAGTACATTAATAATTTGACAGGTATTTGCTGAGACTGTGCTAGACATTCTACATGTGAATATATCGAGTACATGTGACTCCATAATAAAAGAGTGCATTAGTGTTAGATGATTTCAATGGTTCTAATGGTACTTTCAAAGTCTATCTGTACATGTGCAATTTGTCTTTTGAAAGGCAGGCAAGTTCTTTCATTTAATTTTTAGTATTTAGTGTTCTGCTATAGGGCATGGATACTCACCAGAAAGATACTGAGAAGGAGAGAAAGAGAAATCACCCCCCAGCAGGTGTGGCCTCCATTCACCTCTCAAGATTTGAGGCATGCACACACACATGCCCTGCATAATTTTCAAGCCACTGGGTGTGGGACTCAAACCACAGTCAGGCATGTGGGATTCAGAGCCTTAACTTCCACACCACCTGCTGGCCCAGGCAAGTTCTAAATCTAAGATACCCTTAGGAAGATATTTCCCCTCTACCTTCATGCCTCTTCCACAGTCTCTGTAGTAAAGGGAACTTCAACATGCAATCTGAACTATCTACCATTCCCTAATCCTTCTTTCCTCTTTTAACCTTTTCTCTATTACCAACAACGTGAGGGAACAAACTCAGATGAATGTGGGGGTGACCATTTCTCTTGGTTCTCTTTAATCAGTTCTTCTTCCTCTTTAATATCTTCATGTTGGAGTGCCTGGGGTCAGCCTTGTGTCTTCTTTCATACTGTATCTACACTTATCTCTGTGGATGTATCACTTGGCCTCGGGGTTTAAAATACCGTTAGTATTCTAATGCTTCAAAGTTAATATCTCCAGTGTTTTCTAAATTTCAGATTCACTTTTCCTCCTGCATGTCAGACAAACTGAATGTCTCCATTTGCATGTCTAATAAATATTTCAAATTTGTAACATGTTGAAAGCTGTATTACTGATCCTCCTCTTAACTTTTCTCTACCCACAGACTTTCCTGTTCTAGCTAATGAGATCTCTAGTCTTCCAGTTGTTCAGCCCAGAAACTTCAGCGTCATCCTGATTGCTCTCTTTCCTTGTACCTCAAACATTACGTACAAGCTCCCAGAACTTCTTGGCACCACCTTAACAACATATACTGTGTGTGAGAACAGCTGTCCATCATTTTCACAGAGACTGGCTCCTGGACTTCATAAATACCAAAATATGCAGATACTCAAGTCCCTTATATAAAGTAGAGTAGTATTTGCATAACCACTGCATATCTTCCTGTATACTTTAAGTCATCTGTATATTGATTATAATGGTTAATACAGTGTATCCATTCTGTAGTTATCCTACTATATTATTCAAGGAGTAATGGCAAGAAAAACATGTTGTATATATGTTCACTACATACTTAATCAATTTTTTTTTCAAGTGCCCTTGATCGAAGGTGGTTTGGATCTGCAGGCGCAGAAGCAGCGACACCGAGTGCTGACTGTACTTCTTACGATGAGAAATAAACACTGTTACTCCCTTGGAGGGAGTTGCACCCGCAGCTCTCTCCTCCATTACTGTGATAGCATCTTGGCTGGTCTATTCTGACCCAGCAGCCAGAGAGAATCTTTTTAAATAAATGTTAAAATCCTATCACTCCTTTGTTCAAACTCTTCTGATGACTCCCCATATCCCCCAGAGGAAGAGTCAAAGCCAGAGGCTTCTCACTTCATCCAAAATGCAAATTCTTTACCATGGCATTCAAGGAGCTGCATGATTGACTCTTTTTTAATCAGAGCTTCTTGGCCACTCTGGCTCCAGACACATCTTCCCCCTGCCTGTCTGTGAATACACAGGGCACACTCCCCATTTAGGGCTTTGTCTCGAACACCTACACCTGCATGTCAGCCAAATTTTTTATCCCAAGTCACCTCCTGCCCTGACCACCCTATTTAAGATTCTTATGTGTCTCTTCCTACAGCATCCCAACCCTCCTTATGCTACTCTTTCTTTTTTATTCTTCCTCTTCCCCTAGATTATTAACTCCACAAAGCAAGGGAGTTTTGTTCACCACTCTATCCCAGGCATTGAAGACCAGACCTGGCACCTAGTGGGTACTCAGCCAAAGTGGCTAAATAAATGTAGAACACAACTTAAAACAATATCTGGGGACCAGCAGTTGATGTAATGGCTATGTTGCTGGACTCCCATGTAATTGACCACGGTTTGAGTCCCAGACTTGGTGGCTTCAACTCATACCAGGCGTGTGTGCGTGTGTGCCCAAGATCCCGAGAGGAGAATGGAGAAGGGATTGCAGTGTGGCCAACCACCCAGGGGTGATTTCTCACATTCTGTCTCTCTGTTTCTCTCTGTCTTTCTGACGAGCTCATATGCCCTATAGCAAAAACCTCTCCAAAAATAAATAAATAAATAGAGAAAATAAATAAAAAATTAAAAAGAACAATATCTGATTTGTCAAATATCAATACTTCAGAGATTGACCTTCAATCCCACCCTGTAACATGTAGCTTTTACTCATTACAAAGCCAGTTCGCAATGTCAAATTCCCCAACTTGCCAAGGATATTGTAGGGGTTGGTATAAAGATGTTGGAACTCAGACATAAGGGAAAGGAGTAGATGGACTTATTTTTTATTCCTCACATCTGCCTATTTTTCCCTGAATCACCCTATAACCCAAGAGAAGACAGAGGATAACATTCTGTTTGCACATTTGCTTGATCAAAAACAAAGATGAAATAAAACTAATTTTTTCAATTTTTAAAATATTTTATGAAGCATTTTATATTTACTTCATCTTTCCGTAAATCCAAACTTTGAATAAAATTAAAAGACACAAGATGTCACAATGTAATGTGAGGTCAGATGTTTCCTTGAGTTGGAGGTTTCTATTCTGCGCATGAGAACATGTTTTCAGAACACCATAGTGGTATCATTTATACTGGCAGATACAGAGGAGCACTGCATTTTCAGTAAATGCATTGTTCTGGGAACTGAGCAATGCAAGAAACATAACGAGCCTTATGCTGGAAACAGTTTTACTGCAAAAAGACTGTCTTCAACATAATGTGCTTGATTACTTCTCATTTCCTTCTCAAAGTCACTAATTAAGCTTTTACTTAAAGGATCAGGAAACAACATATAATAGTATTGAATGCTTTTCAAAGTCTTTCATCTGTGGAAAACAAAATGCCTTTTCCCACATTAATTGATTAACCCTGTGACAATTGAGATAACAGCCCAACTTATTGTACAGCCTAGAGGCCAGATAAATGAAGAGAACATAATTTAGTGATGGTTGTCTCATCCCGTGGTTAAAGTGCTCAGTGGGGAACATTGCAGGACATGCCACTGCTCTGCACTAGGGAGAGGAAGATGCTGATCGGCCAGCTGCCACACCTGATCTTTGATGGACAATGACCTTCCAAAATTAAGGTTTTCATTTCGCCATGTTGGCTTGGATGAAGAGGTCCTCTTTAGCTACATCTATCTTTAAAATCATCAGTGTGAAGACGAAAATTGTTTGTCGAGCTTCCCAGAACTTCAGAGTAAATAAAGGACATGATCATGTTTTAAAGGAGGTTTAGGTGATACACATCTGAAAAAAAATAATAATAATATTGCAGGACCCAGGTGTTGAGGTGCTGCGTTCTGCAGGCTGGGACCACCTGGGAAGCCTGAGTGCAATTCCTGGTCCAGTCTTACAGCCTGGACTGAGTGGCACGTTTCTCCAGTCGCAGCAGCTCAGGGAAAGTGAGGCAGGAGGGTCAGAACAGTGGACACAGTGAGAGCTCATTTATAAATAAATTAAATAGTAAGACTATAAAATAAAGGCTTGGCAAAGATATAAAAAGGCTAGTAAAAGGAAACCAAATGTCATCAAGAAAATTATGATTTGAAGTCCATTATAGAGTCCCTGAAAAAAGAAAGCTAGATAGAAAGAATAAACAAGGAGAACGGACAGGGGTCTTCCAAACAGAAGGATGCTGCAGGACAAAGGTATTATAGAAAAGAGTTATGGAACAGGGAAAAAATCATCATTTTAAAGCCATTGTAAAAAAAGATTTGAACAAAATTCATCAACTGACACTAAACCTAGGGGACAACATTGCTGAAGAGCAGGATATTTGCAGTTCAAATGTCTATCAAATGTCTTGTGGTTGATAAGGGGAAACGTAGTAATTTCATGGTTAGAGAACTCAGACAACATCTTGCTCAGGTTATCAAAATTAATAGCACCAGAGGACAGATGACTAGTACATACCTTTGAGTGTATTACTCTGAGGAGTAATACATGTACGTAGTGTTCTGTTTAGGAGTTCACAGCTTGAATTCTAGCATGAGAAAATTCTGCAAAGCCAAGTTGAGAAACATTCTATATAACACTGGTCAGTAGTCAGTCTTTAAATTCTCTTGGAACCCTACTCTTCCATTTCTCCATACTTTTGGGATTTGGGGCACACTTTCACACACACCTCAAGTGTTCTTTTTTTTTTTCCTTTTTTCTTTTTTTTTAAGGTTTTTGCCACAGGGCATGTGCATTTACGAGAGAGAGAGAGAGAGAGAGAGAGAGGAAAAAGTGAGA